AGATCAGCAAAGACTAAACAAAAGTTTCAAATGATCAACCTTTTTTACTGTGATGTTTAATTTTGTCTGTGTGTACAAGTGTGTATAGTCCTCTCTGATTTCCTTTAGCATACAGCTCTGTACAGCTCAAAAAATAGACACAAGAAACAAGTAATTTGTCTGTATTAAGTGGGTACACAGTGAAACATGGGACCTTAAAGTGCTCCTTGGTTTGAAAGATCTCAGTGACTGTTCGAATGGTCAAAACAAGGTCTCATTGTAGAAAAAAAAAGAAAAAGAAAAATACTCTTTATTATTGCCATTAAATGCTGTATTACAGTGACCAGCATATATATCTTGTATGTTTGTGTGTTGTTGTCCTGTAAATAACAGTATGTTACTCCTTTGTTTGCCCTTGAAAAACAGACTGACAAAAAGAAAACAGCAAATGGAGAGAAAGTATTTTGTTATTTGTCCTTCAGGAGACACAGTATGTACATACCTTCAGTATATTGTAAATAAGTGCTAAAAAAAAAATTGCCATTGGCGTTTTGTGTGTCATAAATAATCTGTGTATGGCGGGTCAACAGTTAAAATCTGTTTCAGTGTTTATTAAAATGTCATTGACCATTTTTACTGCGCTAACCTCGCATCTGCTGTCGTTATTACATCAGCTGTTGTGCTTATTTGAATTAACAGCATTTGGTTTTTGGGGTTATTGAGTTAACTTTTTTCCTCCTTGGCTTTTGTACTGTTTTGACCCTCGTAGCTTGTTGTCCAACAGGTGTCAGCCTAGTGCCAAGCAACAGTTTGTTTGCCCTCCATCGCATATAAACTCAGCAGACCACCCATGCTTGCTTGTGTGAAAGTCACACAATGTTCTAACTGTATTTACGGCTCCTTTTCATTGGGGAAACCTGTTTAAAAAGCTGCTGTCTGTCAGCCACAGATGATCGCTACCACTTTTCTTTTGCAAGAACAAGATTGATGATTTAACAGAGATGCATTATGGATGCTTGTGTCATTCACTGTATGCTCCAACACTGTTGAAGATTGTGATAACTAGTGAAGCTGTGCTCTATTACAGACACTTTCTTGGCTCTTAACCATGTGATTAAGGATTATTTGAGACAACTTAAAGTTCTGTTTACATCTGGCTCCATTCATTCAGAAAGCGTTTTAAAAGCTTGTTGCTTTAGCTTTCTAACTGCATAAATGTATCTGCAGTTTTTAAGTGTAGAACTTGCCTTGGAAAAAAAGTCAACGGTTTATTTATCAGTTATTTCCAAGTGTGTGTGCGTGCTGCTGATATTGCAGGGTTTGCAAACAGGAGGGCTGGCTGTGTTCCAAGAGGGAGAGCACATCCTACACGGGGCTGGACCATGAGGGCTGAACCCCCTTACTGCCCCAATCCAGGCACCCAACCTGCCCCTTTCTCCTCAACCCGTCCAGCCCACCACCAGGTCCAGCACCCCTCCTCCACTGTCAGCTCAGTCATTCACACACACACTCTTTTCTCTTTCCTGCTGTGTGCCAGTCCCTCTCTCTCCCTCCACTTCCTCAAAGTGGCCAGAGCTCCTCTCTTCCCTCTTGTCCTCTTTACATCCCTCCACCACTCTTTTTCTCCCTCCTCCAGCTGTGAGAGCGACCAGACCTCTGGCTCAGGCTGTTCGTCTTCATCTCCACAAGTTGAACGGATCTCAGGCCTGCTACTTTCCCAAACTTCTCCTGAAGACTTGATTTTCATTCTTGACCTTTTCTTTTTTTGGAGGGGTGTCCTTAACCCTTCCCCTTTCGGAGAGGCAGCTTGGTGTGTGTCTGGTGTGTGTGCAGCAACGTGTGTGAGGGCTCTGGTGTCGTGCTCTTTGCCCTAAGGGAGTCCCTAAAGGTTGTGACTGAAGGAGAGACGTTTTCCCCAAGATGAATGTTCAGCTGCTGCTCCTGTTGGCCCTGGTTGGCCCTTTTTGCGTCTTCACACGTGCAAGTAAGTGAACTCTCTGCTATCACCGTCCTGCTGTTAGCACACTGTGTCCCCTCACTCCCTCTGCCTCCATGTGCACACACCACACCACTCTTTGTCTGCTTTTAATCCCCGTTGATTGAACAATAACTCTCTGGAGGCTGCTTTCAGAAAGCACGATGAACTCAATTTCAATTTGTGTATCCATGAAATAATTCATCTTGTATTGTGTTCAAATAATTTTAAACACTTTTCATATTTTTTTTTGTTTTATGTTTTTACTGTTAAATCATCTCTCACTGAAAACTGCTTCTGACAACTGCCGACTGTAGTCCGGCCTATGTGTTTCACTTCAGCTAAGAGTCGACCTGATATAAAAGCAAAACTTCGGCTCAAGGTGTTAATTTAGCAACGAGGGGTCACCTCAGATGGAAAGTCTGTGTTGATTTTAACAGATCAACCTCCCCCTTTCTCTCATTTTCACACTACTCCTTAGCTCTGAACGGGAGGAAAAGTTTGATTTGCAGACACGAGGGAGAAATGTGATGTAATAGCAGGAGCTCTGCTGCCTCGTGTCTGTAAATTCCTTGGCACTGGCAAAGAAAAGAAAAGGAATATCCTTTGGAAGGCTCCCAAAAACAGTGCTCATACACATGGAGGGATGGGGAGGAGGGGGGTGGCTGTGAACTGTAACGTACACCGTACACATTTATCTGAACACTGTCTCCTCTCACTTTACTCCTGATTCTCTCATTTCTCTCTCACTGCAACTACTTTCTCCCTATTCCTCTGCCTCTGCTCTTTGAATCTCTTGCCTCTCTTTCTTCCTGTATGTATGTATGTATGTATGTATGTTTTCCCTTATTCCTGTTCTACTGCTTCCTTCCTTTGCCTTGACCAGCAGTGTTTGCCCGGAGGAAGCAACAGGCACGGGGGTTGAAGGGGTGTGTGGCTTGAGCCTCAGGGAACTGTAGGGCAGGGCACGGCTGGTTTGCGTGTGAGTATTAATAGAGAGAGGCTCTATATTTAAGAGGGTCATATGGATGAGAGAGGAGCAAGGGACGGGAAGAGAGAGAACACCCGGTACGTGATGAGCTTTAAGAGGCGCCCCACCCTCTTTCGCCCGCATGTTGTTAGACCATGTGGCGCGCCGCCCCTTGGCATTTACCCATCTTTGGTGGGGTATCAAGCTTTACCACTTAAACCCCCTCCTCCCCCCTCCTCCCCCTGTCTCTTAACAGTCCTCCTCCTTTCTCCAACTCTCTGCCCCCTTCCCCTGTTCCAGCCTGATGAGTCTGGACCCCGGGGGATAGGGTTGGTGTAGACACGGGGGGAGTAGAGAGGGGCTGGCTCTATTTTTAAACAACAACCTTTACCGGTTAGAGACTACGTGCCTGCCTCATTTCCATGGAAGTTTACTCTGAAAAAGACAGTCCCTTAAGGTTGCACAGTGATCCTCAACTCAGCCATCTCAGTTTTCCCTAAGAAAAGGGGAAAGCTCATTCCACATCTATACTTCACAAACAGGGTCTTTTAACTTCCTCGCGCCTGCTCACTTAACTGGCAAGGCCCATGTATCCTGTAAAACCCTCCACCTCCTCC